CGTGGTGTGTATGTATATACATTTCTATATAGTTAGGCTTGCGCATGCATATATTGAAAATCCGGTCTGCTCTGCAAGTTTGGTGGCATTTCTGATGGATGTCATGAGGCTTGTGCTCTACAGTCACGTCTGCCTGCTCTGTGGGTGAGAAAAGGACTTCCTAAAGAGGATGACCTAGCAGAAAGGAGGCAAAAAGCATAGATGGAACGTTTCCACTTATTCTTAGGAAGAACAAGCGCACTGATAAGCAGTGAGTTGCCTGAACTCCTTAGCCTTGGAACTGGCCATCAGAAGTGCCCAGACCTCCTGCCTTCTTCAGCTGTGCTATAACTGGGGAGGCCTGATTGTGGCCTTCCAGTCCTTGAAGTGAGTTTATAAGCAGGAAAGGGAGCGACTTTTTACACCATCTAACAATGATAGGACACGGAGGAACGGTTTTAAAGTAAAAGAGGGGGAATTTAGGTTAGGTGTTAGGAGGAAATTTTTTGCTCAGAGGGTGGTGAGGTCCTGGGACCACTGCCCAGAGAAACTGCGGGTGCTCCATCCCTGAAGGCACTCAGGGCCAGGCTGGATGGCGCCCTGGGCAGCCTGATCCGGTGGCAAAAGGCCTATGGCAGAGGGTTGGAACCAGATAAGCTTCAACACCCCTTTCGCCCAAGCCATTCTGTGATTCTGGCTGCATCTCTTTATGCACGCTACAGACGCGCCCTGGAAGCAGCGCCTCTTCCCAAAAGCCAGGCTGTTGGCAGCCTACTCATTTATCCTGCCTGAAACGGCCTTTTCTGGCTGCTTAGACATGGTCAGAGTCTTTCTCTCAGCTTCCCTTGTGCCCTCGTCGCTATCAAAGTGCGTGCTGGTGCTTGCCAGCAGAGCTGTGCCATCCCCAGCAGTGCTGGACGTGGCTCTGCAGGCTGGAGGTGTTGGGTGCTGGAAGGGCGGTTGTGTGTCGGCGTGGCTGGCGCTGCTGGTGCTGCGTAGCCTCTGCCTTTACACATCCACGGGGCACCCTGGGAGAAAGCAGCTCTTCTGGCTTTTTTTTTCCTCGCGATCTCACTCCGCCAGCAGCGTTCCCTTATTTCCACGCCTGCCCCAAGTCAATTTCAGTCTAATTGTAAGAGTAAGCAAACAGTGCTGTGAGCCGGTAATCCCCGCAGTCAAACACCTCAATCCCAGCGGCAGTGGGAGCGGTGTTGGCACAGCGCTGCTCGTGGGGAAGGGGCCCCGACATCTGTTTGCGCAGGAGCATTTCTGCAGCGACGCTTTGTGTGTTTTCCGCGGCGTCTCCCATGCGGAGGCGATGAAAAGTGTGTGTTTTGGCAAATCTTTTGTCTTATTGTGGTCGCTTGCGGCGGGGCAGCTCCTCGCAGCCGCCGCTTTGACAAAGCACCAGAGGATTCTGTTAAAAAGTTGTGTTTAGTAATTGTAGTCGTTGTGTCAGACCATAACTGACTCGGAGCTGAAGGATTTTTGTGAGATGAGTAGCTGTGCCAGCAGGGACCCAAGTCTCCTGGGCCAGGCGCGCTCTCATTAAGATTTGCCGCTAGCCGTGGCGGTGTTCGGCAAGTATGTGACGTGCATGCTGTTATTGTATGCTTGGCTTGTCAGCCTGCAGCTTTCTGACACTCACTTATGTCACTCTTTATTCAGAGAGGAAGAAGCTTTTGATAATTTGACAAGACAAGCTCTTAAACGATCTAGGTCATGGCCTTCACTGTCTGTGATTGTGAACATATTTCCTGAAAGCCCTGTCACTCATCACAGCTACATTTTCTCCCGGGGAGCCATAGGCCCGTCCCGGTCTCCTGTCAGCGCGTGCATTTTGGTTATTCATACGCCAAATACAGTGCCGGGGTTTCTCTCAGCATTTGCAGGCGCCGCCGTGTTAGTGAGGCTAATCCTTCCCGCGCGGTGCTCCCAGCAGAGCCGCGTCCTGCGGCCGGCCGGCGGCGGGCCGAGGGAGCGGAAAGGAGGAAAGGCCGCTGAGCGCCGGTTTTGTGTTTGCTCACTGTTGTGGAAATATGAGAACTGGTGGCAAGGGCCTCGTCTATTGAGCACTTGAGTCCTGGGCTGCTGTCAGGGGCTGTTTCAGATTGAGTGTTTTATTTTCTTTGATGTTCACATTTGAGAATAGGGAAGTGGGAATTAAACAACAGATGCATTAAGCCGTTGTTCTGGTAAAACAATAATTAGCACCTGATAAAACCCAATATGGGTCAAAACGCGCGCTGTATCTCGTCCTGATCCGTCTGGTGTGGCACGCCGGGCCGCTTCGTGTTCGGGTACGAAAAATAACCGCTCCCAGCAAACCGGGCGTGCGCACGGCAGGAGCGGCTGGCTCTGAGGGGTCTTTGTGCTGCAGGCGTGCGAGGCGCCCGGACGGAGCTGGACGGGCTGCCGCCTGTGCTGGGATGCTGCCTGCGGCCGCCGAGCACCGCGCTGCTTTTAGGAGCCGTCACCTCTTGTGCTCCTGCATCGCAGCGCTGGTGCGGTCAGATCGCTGGGGCAGGAAATAAATGCAGTTTTATTTCGGTGTAGCCATCACGCTGTGTACTAGAGGGTCCTCATTAAAGAGGGCCGTTCGTGGGTAGGCACTTCCAAGTAAATCACAGCTCTGGTTGTTGTGTTAGTGATCTCTCCCATGGCAAACCGTGTTGTTCCGTTTCAGTATTCAGCAGTAATTCCTAATGACATACATTTTGTCATTCTGTGGGGAAGGATGCAGACAATAACTTCGAGGTAATAAGACTCCCGGTTAAAAGCATCGCTTTTAGAAGGCTGTTGTTTCGCATCTGGTTTGGTCTGTTGTATTCTGGGTCTTATGTTTCATAAGTGATCATTGTGATGATGAAAAGTATTATATTGAATCACCATCTGCATGAAGAAATAGGCCTGGCCAATTTCCCCGTACCTTCCTGAAGTTCTCCCACAGCCCCCAGCACGCTCAGCGATAATAAAACTCACCTCTTGGTATCACGGCTCAATGCCTGGGATTTGTTAAGGGCTGTGCCAGTTGTCATTTCCCACTCTGAGTTTCAGATTTTCAGTATAAACCACCTCTTTGTGTCCCGGGGAAAAAAAAAAACAACCCTATATATATATATACATATTCAAAAAAGTAACTAATATTTTCCATTATTAAATAGCTGCTGCGTAGTAAAGGTCAAATCACAGAGTGGCATTTTGCCAGCGTGTGACACCTCCTTGATTGCGATTTTTCAACCATATTAGTCTGGGGACACTGTGGTAATCGAAAACTACCCAGAACTAATGTATAAATAACTGCCTGCTACCCCTGTGCTAAACGAGCAGAAGCCTTATGCATGGCTGGGGCCTTCGGTAGTTTTGAGGAGGAAGGCAATATCTTTGATACGTTCCTTTTTTTATGAAGTAGGAGATGTTTATATATTGGATCTCAAAGCCCTGTGCTGGGAGGAAAGCCCTTTTGTTTGCATTTGGAAGCAGCTCGAGTTTGTTGGACCTGTCACTCCTTGCACTGCTTTCCTCTCTTAGAAAAGTGATCTACTTCACACGTTTTCTTTATAGAAATATTAACATGAGGCTCAAATATTTACACGCGCTGTTGGAGTAAGATGCCAAATACCGAACCGTTACAAAGAGCAGAGTGTAGGTTTTTCTGCAGAAAATTGTGTTGCTCACAGAATGAATAATAAATTATATAATTTCCGTCACATGTGGGAAAAACTTACCGAATGTGCCATGGGGTGACTGCGAAAACCTTGGTTTATTTTTTGAGAGATTTGGTGGCTAATACTGACTGTGGTGTGTTGCATATTTATTTATTTTTTTTAATTAGCGTTCTCCATCAGAATAAAAGAAGGCAGGGGTTGAGACGTGAGAAAAAATGATTCAAAATCTGAGTAAATGTTGTTAGTACCGATTTGCAAGCAGCCGAGAGACTTCAGTGTTTGAAAACAGAGCTGCAGCATTTGTGTTGAAGCCACGGAGTAACCGAGGTTTCTTCTTAAAATTCTGAAAATTGAGAGTGGCAAACCAGGTTGGTAATTGTTCAAGTGATTAAGAAGTTGTTTTAATAAAAGTGTGAGTGTCTTAAACAAAAGCAGAAGACCTCCATTGAAGTAGCTGTGCAGGCGCCCCTAAAGAGCTGCACTGCTTCAGAACAAAGTGCCACTGTTCCTGCATGTGCTCTTGGTGAGGAGAGGAAGACAGAAATAAGCACAATTTTGTAGCAGCCTTAAGAGCCGTGCAGAAATTACCCCCCAGCTTCGCTGATCGTTAACACGTCCTTGTTTTGCTGGAAGAAGAAAATGCACGTTTTCCTCTTTCCTTTCTTTCACGTATTCCTGAGGTCTATTGTGTAATTGCTGTGGTTGCAAATCTGCTCTGTAAAAATTTCTGCAATGGGCTGCCCCTACAAGTTTGTTTGCAAGGCTGGTGAGTTACGAAAAAAAGGAGGAGAAGGAGCAAGCAAGCCATTGCAGAAATTGAAACATGAAAGCAATCTGCCATGCTTCTTGTTTACAACTCATCTGACATTAGGCTGCTGAAGATTATTACGTGTAACAATTATATTTTGATTAGGATAGAGATTTGTACAAAAATGCTAAAATATTTCCATTTCTCCATGAAAAGAAGGTAGCTTGTGATTTTATTTCCACGGCAAGTCTATAAATCTAATAGGGCAGTAAATTTAGAGTTTTAATTCATTTCTGTTTGCTCTACAGTATTTATACTTCTTATAGTTAAAAGCATGCTGCTCTCCCAAACTTCCAGCCTTCAGAGGAGAAGGGGAGAGCGAAAACTGTTACTGGCTTTCTGACAATGGCAGGGAGTGTGTTAAACCAGTGTAAAATTCAATTAAACTGTCTAGCCAGGTTTTTGAAGCTGAAATGCAGACCCTTTCAGTTAAGCTTCTTATTTTCCTGTGACCGACACCGGTGGATACTGTGTTATGCCAAAACCAACAGGCTGTAAAGCACCTTGTTTCATGCTCCTAGCTGATCAATATTTTTATTTTCCAGGCTTGCCCAGAAATATGGAGGCAGTATCACCTAACAGTAAGTAGAAACACCTTTTTTATTTTCTTCTACACCCAACCTATTTACTCTTCTGTGAACTGCTGACCAGAAAATATAGACAAGTATCTTCTGCAAGAAGATAATAAACATCTGAAGAGTTTTTGAACTGAAAAATGCAATGAAACACTGTCAGTGTTTTTTAAATATCTTTGGAGCTGACGATTTTGTTCTAATACTGCAGTCATTAAATGAGTGTCTTGCAGCATTCTGTCCTCTCAATGACTACATTTAAACATATGAAGAGAGTTAAATTTTAAGCTGGCGTGCATAGCAAAAGCAATGCCCCCATCTCAGATATCCCAGTTTCTGGCAATTGCTCACAATAAGACAGAGATCTCTTCTTAAAGGAATAAAATAAATCTCAACTGGAGTGTATTTGAGACATACACTTTATAAACTTCTGTAAATCATTTGCTGTTGCCAAGAATACAGCTGTAGCTTCTTCTTTGGCATGCATTAGGTGACCTTTAATAATTTAAGCAAGAAAGTAAAACTTTCTGAACTGTAGCAATACGTTTCTTAAGGTTTTTCCTTGTGTGTAAAATAGAGATAAAAATAAAACAAAATGCATAATGATTTGGCTAGTTAGTTAAACTGGGAACAAAAATTATCTGGCTAAGACAATATTTAATGGTTTGGCATCAGAAATCTTTAATACATTAATTCCTAAAATTGTAAAAAAAAAAAAAAAAAAAAAAAAGACTTCAAAGATTAGAATTTCTCCCGTTCCTCTGAATCTTTGCTGCCACTGCTATCCAGATCTAACTCGTATCTATTTAGCAGTAATACGTATTAGTCACTACTCCCCATTCAAGATCAAGTAGAAAAGTTTGTCCTGCACCTTTCCTTATGGGGTATTTGATGTGCATATTTTCTTAGGAGCAGTAAATGGGGCATGTGGTTTATAATTTGCTGCCTCCACCACTTCAGAAGAGCGAAACGCTATTTTTTATGGCTTTGCTAAAGTTGGTAAATTAAACAATTACAGAAAAGCTGTGCTGCAAACCTCTTGCTTGTCTTTCCTACGTAATGATTTTAAAACATTGGAAATTCTCCACTCTCTGAGCACTTAATCATATTAGGGATGGAATTAATATACTGTGTGTTAAGAGTTGAGCAAAAGGAGCATTTGCTGAATAATCTGCTTGCATTTTTTGAATTGTTTAAAGGCAGAAGGTAAACATTTTATGTCATAATTATTCCTATGCGTGTAAAAATGATTTCTGAAACGTTTGAGGTCCCTGAAGTCCCAAATCACATATGTGTGTTAGATACAGTGGTGTGGTGAGTTCTCTTGTTAGTGAGGTGTAGCATTTAGTTTTATTTTGTTCCTGCTTTCCATTGACAGTGCCTCAAAAAGCCCGTGACGTTAAGCACTTCAAAAATATTTTTGTAAGACATGGAGCAGCTAAGAGCTGACCAAGCTGTTGCTGGCAGCGTTTGAAGCAGCTGAAGTAGGAAATTTTAGCTGCGAATTTTCTAGGAAGTGTTCAGAGTTCTTCACCTTGCGTAAAAGTCACGTTTGTCAAAAAGCTCTTGTAGGAAAGCAGAGCGATTATGAATGCAAGTGTGTTATTAAATGCCATAATCAGTGTCTGTGCTTTGAAATACAGTCAGAACGGAGGCACAAAGATGCATAGTCGTGGAGTCAGACAATAGCTGTTGGTAAATATCTGTTTTCTTTTCCAGCGGACTGTTAGTGATCTGCATGTAACCCAGATTTGTGGTACCTGGGAAAAAATTTGCACTTGTCAATTTTTGCATGGGAAAGACTCTTTATCACTCGCCTGAAGTTGCATTGGCGGTCAGATTAAGGCTGGAATTTTGAACTCTGTGTAGCAGAAGACGTTTGATATTTTTAAATTAGGTTGTACCTTAAGAAGTGGCATTGCGTGAGTTGTTTAAATGTGCGAGTCACGGCTCCTTTGCGTTGAGATATTCCTCACATCCAAAGCAGGATGCAAACAAATGCAAACGGTGCTCTTGCAAGACTTAAAACTTCTGTAACATAATAATTTATGTTATGTGTATTTCAATAGAATTTTAAGAAGTGGATACTCTCATATCGGCTCTCATATTTACTCTCTTATCATTTTAGTAATATTTTAGTGTAGGCATTGTTTACAATTTTCCTACTTTATAATAAACGTTTTGATACAAACAGGGTAGCTGTTAAGAGAGAAATAACACAAGTTTTAAAGTGCGGTGTTGTGACTGCTAGTGAGCTAGGTAGGCTGCCTGGTCATTAACAAGCAGACAGGTCACAGCGAGCCTTTCCTGTGCTTTAATCATGGATACAACCAATAGATTGTAACACTTTGGCAAATGGAGTGTCCTACGTGCAGGTAAATATATGCACAAATAAAGCAAGGCTTTCCAGTTTTCAATAAAACACTACTTTTGTGATGCTACTTAAAAAGAGCCATTACAAAAATTGCCCAAATGTTCTGCATTATGTGAAGTATTCCTAATTAATTACTGTGAATGCTTGTTAAAAACATGCGGCGTTACACCTTTCTCTTTTGTGGAGCTCTTGGTGATTTTATTCATTATCTGGCTCTTTCCTAAGCGATGGACTGCCATCTATTGACTTATTGTAGCCCTTGCACAGAAATGTGGGTTGACTAGAACAATGACTAAATAACAAATCCAGTAAATTCATCCTGCTGGTGTGGATGGTGGTGGGTTTTTGCTTACATGTGGCAAATCTTGGCACATTACAAACAATATGTTATGTGGGCAGAAGCGTCTTGTTCTAACCGAAATAGACCAGCAGTACAGGAAATCTTACGAGCAGCTAAGGTAGCAAGAGGGATCGTAAGTGGAATATTTTAATTTGCCTTCTGATGGAATAAAAGATTGTCATACTGCATTCACTGAAGCTTAAATTTAAGGGCTCTGTGATAATCAAAGCTTTTGTGAGTGGATGAAGTTGTTTTCTTTAAACTTTTTCTTTCAACTCTGTGAAGTGAAATTATTGCGTAAAAAACAAAGTCAGCAAAACAAGCCAGGTGCTGCTGTAGTTTAAAATAGTATCTAACAACTTCCTTATGGTGGCAAAGGAGAAATTTTACAAGTCGCGCTCACCATGTCTGCTCTCTGCGTATTTCTCCTACGTCAGAAAAAGGAAATTGTGTTTGTCAAAACACATTTTAAATTTCTGTTCATCAAATAGGTCAGTTTTGATATCAGAGAGGTTATTACCAATTCGTGTAATAACAGCAAGCCTTCATTTGCAGGTCCGGAAGAAATAGTTTTGATCATGACTTACCACAGGGTAAATGATAGCCAATGTAATTTTTTCACAGGCATGGCATTCAAAGTGCTTAGCACACTGCTGTAGATTATTAGGAAACTTAACATAGGGTTTGACTTTCTAAATGGTAGCTGTTCCACAAACCCAGGGAAATATGGCCCTCGCTCCAAGAGCACACATCACATTCCATTTCCCACATCCTCAGGGCTTTGGCGTGCTTTTTCACCCTCAGAAGGTTTGGCTCTTTTTCATTCCCTCATTCTTTTGTGTTTCACCCGTGAAGGCAGTTGCATTTATTCAGTGCTCTGTACTCAAATGGAGTCCAGTTTATAGCCATGTATTTTCAGGGAGAGAAGTCAGTGGAAGAACTTGAGGTCAGGGTGCCTACGGTTGTCATTTGCCCAGTTCAATTTTGTGGCACATTCTTTAAGGAAAAAAGGTGCACAAGTGTCGTTGTGCATTTAAGGTGGTATTTGTTTGCCTAGCTGTGTTTCTCATGGCAGCTTCACGTTACATGGCTCTGAGCACGCGGGATGGACAGCCTGCAGCAGAGAGACGGCCGTGTCCCACAGTGTTAACCACGGATGGTGCTTGGGAGGAGTGGATCTGGGGATAACACTCGGCTGGAGTCTCGCTTCACGGAGGGAATGTTGTTTCCACCCAGTGCCTGTCCATGTGTTGCAGGCCTTGGGCTCGCACCAGCTGGCCAGCTGCTGGCGTCCGTGGCACCTCGTTGGCTGACATGGCTGGAAAATGTAGAGGAGAACATTTGTAGTGCCTGTCGCTGAGGGTGTGAGGCTGCATGGCGTGCACCTGCTGAGGCGCAGCTCTGAGTCTTCCTGTGTGGTGGCAGCTGATAGCAGCACCAGAAGATGAAACAGAACACACGGCTCTGCTGCACGCATTGCGCTGCTTCACTCCTCAGAGGGGCTGAAGGTACGCAGGGGGGAGCACAGCAAGGCCAGCTGCAGAGCAAAGCAGGGGCACCGTCACCAAACAGGACGTAATGCTGCAAGCGATGCTAACATCGCTTTCAACAGATGTATGTGAAGTGGTGAAATTCCATCCCTGAAAAGGGCAGTGCCTGATCGTTGTTTTCGACGTGTTCCTCAGTGTACACACCCGTGTTTAAAAAATGCCCTGCTTAGATGGGGCTTTCTTTCTGCCAAGGCTGCCCGTTTCCACCCGCCTCTGTCTGCCCGGTGCCGCTCAGCAGAAGGACTCCTTCCTATCCCCTGTCTGCTGCTCGCTCGGATGGAAGCTGCTAGGCCAAGATGGCCACCAACAGAGTTTTACAAACACTGGAATTTTTCAGCTCGCAGAAGCTATCGTTTAACTTGCTTTTTGACAGTTTGTTAATCTTACGTTTAATCCGCTTACACAGAAGGTGAAGCAGGAATTGGCTGTTTTGGCCTCTGTGCGTAAAAGTCATGAAAGGACAATGCACCCTTTGTGTTTAAATTTTGCGCTTGGGTTTCTTTGTGTGCCATTATTAAAAGCCCCCGTGGCCTGCCGCGTTTCCTCTGAGATGCAAACGTAAGCGGTGTTGCTCATGGTCGGTCTGTATCCTTTAAATGTGGCGTCCAGCAAATTTTAGATGTCGTTCCAGACTGAGGTATTTAAGCCTGGGAGACTTGTTTTGCAGGAGAGCTCTATGGGCTTTGTGCCGGTGAAAAGCAGGTTTAGGAGCATTTTCAGGAGGAGATTCAGCCTCAGTTGGCTG